TCTTGGCTAAGGTGGAGCGCCCCGACCTACAAGCAATTTTGAGAGTGCAACGTCTGCGCCTGCTTGGGCGCCTGCTGCATCACGGTACGTCCACTTTGCGGAGCCTGGTGACACATGTATATCGCACAGCACAGCCATTGCGCACCACATGGATGCACAAGGTCATCGATGACCTGGAATGGCTCCGCACTGCACATCATCAGCTACGAGAGATGCCGACCCCAGCGGACAATTTTTACGCCTGGGAAGATCGCATTATGCATTCACTTTCGGCGTGAAGGGCATCATTGTGACTGCTCTACGTGCCCACGCGCTTGCAGCCAGTCGCAAGGCGATGGCCCAACAAACACAATCAGCTTTTTCCGAGCTAGTCCGTCCAGCAGGAGTGCTAGTGCCTATTACCAACCCCTCGCACCCCATATACACAGTCAAGATACAATTGCCAGCATTGAAGTGTATGTGGTGTGGTTACACAGGGGACACAACCAACAACACAAGACAGCACATTGTGCGTACACACTACAGTGCAGTACATGTGGTGTCACGATTCATGGGGGAGGGAAGTACTTCCATGTCGTGCTCTGTTGCCTTCGCATCCAGAAGACAACTGCGAGACCACCTTGCATTCGGAGCGCCAGTTTGCCACCTTGCCTACATGATGCATAGCACTACTATCCATCCCGACAGAGCCGAGCCACTGCGTCTGGAGGACGCCAGTCAGCACACAGTTCAGCGCCGCGCAGGATTTGGAAGATGGCGCGCAACCTATCCAGCATAAGTGCAGTATCCGGAGGACGGCCTCTACCCATCAGCTATGCTGGCAGCAGCCCTCCTTGATGATGACCAGGCCAGAGCGATCATCCAGGAGTCAGCCTACGAGCTTGATCTGATCTCCCTCCCCGCCTACCAGAACCTACTGAACAACCCACCTGAACCACCGACCCAAGAGCAGCCTCTTTTCCCCGACCGTCACTACAAATATAGGTCCCATGACTACACTGCCAGTGCAGCTGAATGGGTACCGTGCCGCATCCATCGCGCAGAAGAAATTGTACTCAACTTGTTTTCAGGAAGGAGGCGAGCAGGTGACGTGCAATCCTGGATCGAAGGGATTATTTTCACGACCGAGTGCACATGACCATGCTTTGCGTTGACATAGCCAGTAACGATACCATGGGGGACTTGACGCGCACAACTAACTACCATACGTGAATGGGCGGAACACATCCTATCCAAACGGGTCTGGAACACGGGGAGGGGGCCCCCCTGTGAAACCTGGAGCGCAGCCAGTTGGTTAGTAGGGGCCCCACCCCCGCTACGCACGCACGAATGGTTCTGGGGTGCGCCGTGGGTCAATGACAGACAAGCCGCGCAACTGCAAATTTGAGGGATTTTGTTGCAGCACCTGGTGTACCTTCTGGGGTGCCACTTGGTGGCAGGGACGTCAGGGTGGATAGAGCATCCTGCTCCCCCGTACTGGAGGCCCCAAGCCCCTCGCAGTTTCCAGTGGGAGCCCACAGAGGCCCTAGCTGCGTCGCCTGTGGTCACTACTGCCGACTTCGACCAATGTGTGCACCAACCCGCCGACACGGATCCCGACATGGATCCCGCAGAATACGGGCGCGGACCGACACGTCTCCTGGGGGTTCGGTTAGTGTCTAGCTGCCCGACTCACCCACACACCGCGTCAAGGGGAGCGCCATCAACCTCCTGGAGCCCACAAAGTCCTCCGAGGAAAAGAAATTACCCCTGAGGGCGGCTCTGTTTTCAGAGCCAATGCCAAGAAAACATACCCAGCGGAGATGTGTCGCCGCCTAGCCAGTGCCAGCTCTGCCTCCATCACGCGCATCTGCGCTGATGAGAAAGACGCATATTGCATACCAGATCCAAACCCAGCGTTAGTGGAGGGACTACGCCGTTGTGTACAGTGCTGAAGTGGGCCAAGATGTCATGCCAGCACCTGATTTCGCACACAGAGCTGGCAACAGTAGCAAGCACGGAGTACGTCGGACAGATCCTGAACTGCACAGGTTCAGAAAAGACACGGGCGTTACCCAGGATGTGCAATGTGAATGTGATCCGACTCCAGAGTCTGAGCAGCCCCCTGACATAGCAACTGAATTCAGACCTGGACTGGAGGAGGAGCTTGATGTTGAGGAGTTTGTAGGGCTTGACGTTTCTCCCTCCTCCCCTCCCCCTCCTCCCCCGCCTCCGCCGCCCCCCCCTCACGGGTGAGAAGATGGACCTCATCGCCAGCAACCGCGCCGAGGCCCGCCACCGCCGCTAGGCCAAGCGGGCCGAGGCGCACAAGGCGCGGGCGCCGTGGGCTGGCACCCTCCCCCTCTCCAACCTCTTCGACGAGGCCCGGCCCCCCAGCTGCCTCTCTCCCATTACAGGCTGGGAGCAGGCCGCTCAGTTGACAAGGATTCAGCGTTCGCGCTCACATCTGCGTCCCACCACCACCCCTGCCTCCTCCCTCGATCCTCCCTCTTCCCTCCTCCTCCCCCCTCCTCCCTCCTTTTTCCGAATCCTCCTCCTCCTCCTCCTCCGGGCTCCCTCGCGGAGTCTTGCCGCCTGGGGCGGACGAGCGGCCGACGCGGGCCGGGCGGGGCCGCCTCGTGCTCATGCCGCCCGCGCCGGCCGCGCGCGCCGCCCGGGGCGCGGGTGCCGCGGCCCCGCCATGGCCCGCGCGCCGCCACGCCCAGAAGGCGGAAGGACCAGCACCAGCTAAGGCCCCATCGGAGCTCCGCGCTGGCTTCCGACTGCTTGCGCACGGCTCCTCCTAGTCCTCCTCCTCCTCCTCGTCCTTCTCCTGTGTATCATCATGACCATCATCATCATTCTCATCAACATCCGCGCCATCATCAGCAGCAGCTGCAGCAACATCATCATAACCATCATCATCAGTATCAACAACAGCGTCATCATCAACAACATAATCTCCCCATGTTCCGTCTAAATACCTCCTCCCTGTCGCACCCCGAAACGTGTTGGTAGGGCGGCTTGGGCGTTTCGTCTGAGACGTCCTCACCACCTGTGGCCATGAAGCTCAAACTTTGCAGCAGTTTCACGGAAGGGCGGCGGATAGTTATCCAATTGTGGTTCTCGCTTTGGCGCCGCACACATTCGGCATAAAACTTGCACACGCTTCACAAAGGGAGGGCGGCTCCTTGTCGAAATGTGGTCATTGCCTTAGCGCCGAAAGCATTCGTCTTAACAGTTTGCAGAACTTCTCACGGATGGAAAGAGGTTCCTGTACGGATATGGTCCACGCCTTGGCGCCGAGCACATTCGTCTCAGAGCCTTCAGTAGCTCAACGGATGGAAGGCAGCTGGTTTTCTGAATGTGGTTACCGCCATAGAACAACGCTTACTCGTTTTACGGATTTGCACGATGTTCACGGATGAAAGGTGGCTCTTGATGAAAACGTGGTTCTCGCGTGAGCGCAACGCATATCCGTCTTCAACTGTACAACGCTCGAACGGATTCGTATGGTTGACGTCGCAACAATGGTGTTCGGGCAGGACGTATAATTGTCCAGGCACAACAATCACGCTGATTGGCTCGCGGCCCTGAAGTCCCAAGAGCCGCGTTCTGTCACGATGCGAGCGAGCGAGCGAGCGAGGTCCGGCGTGCGGGAGTCCGCGCCCATGGAGGGCTGCCGGGCACTGGAAAATTAAGCCGGACTTACTCTCAGTCAGTCCACCTCTTGTGTGGCCGCCCTTGCGACCGCAGGCCAATGGGATGCCATTGAAGCAGTTTCTTGGACCATCTTCCATCTGTAGAAATATCGATCTTCTCACGGAGCGCAACTTTGCGGCTTTGCTGCAACACGACCCATGATTTCAATCCGGCCTTCTCGTATGCGGTCTCCGCTTTGTGCGTGGCCCGCACCACCCAATCCACCCACGGCTCGAGCTCCTCGTCGCCGGGCTGACCCGAACGCAGCCGGGGGGTCGCGATGATTTTCCGCACCGTCCGTCGTCGTTCTCTTTGTAGCCGTTGCTCTCTCTCTCTCTCTCTCTGAAGTCATGGTCCAGCAGCCGCTTCCGTATAGCACTGTGGATGTGACAGCGCTATCAAAAGCTTCAGCCGAGAAGGACGCAGGACCGATGCAGGACCACAAGGACGCACCAGTGAAGCTGCCTTGCCGCGGTGAAGTCAAAAGAGTGGCGTTTTGGCGCAACTGAGGATGCTGAGGCGATTGTATTCTGACGGGGCATGTCCAACAGTGAATGTAGATCCCTGTAGGGACCGATGAACATAAAAAGGCAATTTGGACGGTGGGTATATTGCAACATCGTTAAATGAAATTGGGTTCGTACCGGTTGTAGGCCAGGGCGAAGATCTGCGCAGAAGTCTGGGACAGTGAGAACTTTTTTCTTCTCTGACACACAAGAATCTCCTGTGATCCTACTCGGCTACGGAACGAGCGATCGAGACCCCTCCATTGTCTCTACACACAAACAGGCAACTACTAGGACCGAGTGCCACACTGATCCAACCATGCCCCCCGCCTTTCTGTCGGCCCTAGACGGTCAAGCTCGCTCGACATAAGTGTATATATATGTATGGATATACATACACACACACATATATATATATACATATACATATATATACACAATGAATAAGAGCTGCTGCCGGTCGGACGCCACCTTGTTCAAACCCTGCTGATACATGGGGGGGAAGGAAAGAGAGAGAGAGAGAGAGAGAGAGAGAGAGAGAGAGGGAAACACACACCCTGCGCTTCAGAGTATCAGCTGCTACCCCCCTCACTGGTCTGTTGCCCCCTCCTCCTGTAATCTCCTCCTGCTGGTGCCTCTGCTCCTGTTCTTGGACACCTTTCCGGCGGATCTGGCCTGGAGCTCCTGGCCTGGGTCTCCACAAGTGTATTCTTCCCGTATTCAGCAGGTGAGAGATGGCAACATTTCCCTTCGCCACATCGAGCTTCGTCATCGGATAGGAGGGATTGAAGGATGAGGGGCCCACCGAACAACCTAACCGTCCTTCTCCATCGCGCCCCTCAGGATCGCGAGATCTATAACAGCCCGCCTATCCTCCTTCCGCCCTTCCGCACACTTAATCAACGAGTCGAACACGGACTTGGCATCGACGATCCGCACTCCTCCCCCTCCCTCCTCGGCTAGTCGCAGCTCTGAGCTCTCCTTGAGAAGACAGACGGTGTCGCCCGCCCCCAGGCCTCGATCGAGGCTCGGGCGAACTCCGAAGGCAGCCTCTCTGAACATGGAGGAGAACCACTCTGACTCGCCCACGCCCTGGGATAGGGCCATCGTCGCGGCTGCCAGGGAAGAGTTGGCCGCTCGCCCTCAAACGGGACAAGCGCCAGGATATAACTGAAACCAGCCCTGGCTCTCCTCTAGCTACGCTCCTGTCTCCTGCTCCGGCATCCCAGGCGCCCTGAACTGCTCCTGAGTCCTCGGCTCCCATTCCTCCTGCGTCGCTGGCTGTCACCATCACTGCGGTCTACGTGTCATGATTCCAGAATCTGAGATGCTGGGAGGCTGTATCTCGTGGAAGCTCGGCTGCTCGGTTCGCCAGAAGGTGTCCTGGGTGGTGGCTGCAGGGGGGCGGCTGGCCAACATAGAGGCTGCTCCGGATGCTTCTGGTCGCGTCTCCTTGCCTGCCCAACTCAAGCGGTAGACCAGCGAGCGCGGCGAGGCGAACTCATCTGGGCGGAACTGAGGGCCACCGCCCTTCCTGCCTCGCGGCAAATGGTTGGGAAAGATCTCTTCTAGGATATACTTCTCTTGGTCGATCAACGCTCTGTCGGCCAGCCTCCTCGCCCCCCTTTCCGCGCACTCGGCATCGAAGCCCTTCCACTTCCCGAACGCGTAGGCGGACGTCAGAGCGTGGCGCGCCTGCTCTCGGGCGCCGGGATGCGATGCTATCTATGAGAACCTGAGGCATGAGCTTGCCGTTCCGACGAAGCACCCCATAACATGCGTGGATCGAGGAGAGCTCCCTGGATCCCGCCTCATACAGCGCGGAAGTGATGGCGTTGACCATTCGAGGGGGGCGTCGTCTAACCCGTGCACTGCTACCTCCAACTCTAGAAGACATCCTTCTTCGACGAATATGCCCCGGACACCCTCGCAAGGAGAGCGCCGATGGCCTGCTTCAGCTTGCGGCCCTGGGTGAAAGCGCTCTCGGCGTCGGCCGCGCCCTGCTCGAGCGCGAGGGGGGCCATGGCAGAGCGAAGATGTTCATGGGCTCTGACTGCGGGGGGTCGGACTGTAGGCGCCCACGTTTCCGGTGTCTGGGTCGAGGCGGCCGCGCACGCATCGTCGCCTCTTGGCCGCGCGCGCAGTGTTCACTCCTTCGCGCACCTTCCACCTCCTCACCATGATCGACGAGAGGATCCTCTCCGGTCGCGATCTGCGGACCCGGTCGGGAGCCCCCTTGCTCAGAGTCCGACGGGCCCCTGGCCTGGCGACGGACTGCGACTCGGAGGCGCCGGCTTCTCTGAACTTCTCGCGTTCTTCGGCGTCGAGGTCTTTGAGCCTTACTTCTCCCCCTCGAGAAGTGGCCAGTGACCGCGCTCCAGTCGCTCCATCAGCATCGTCACCTACGTGGAAGAAACATGCATCACCATTCAGGAATGTCTGGAGAGTGCCACTCCATCCTCGTTCCTCAAGCCACTGGCCGAAAGCCTCACAGCACCCTACCAGCAGATCCTCGCATTCGCCCTCCTCTCCCTGCATGCGTGGCTGCCTCACTGCCTGCGGGGGGAGCTGGGAGTGCTGCGGCTGCCCTGCTGAAGCTGCCGGAACCGCCTCCTCTTCCTCCTGCCCGCATCTCCTCCTCCTGCCTCCCCCAGTCTGCCTGGTCACAAAACCTCTGGCATTCCTGAGCCTGGCTCCAGACCCCCCCCCTCGGAATGTGGAAGCAGCTCTCTCGGTGCGGGGGGCCCTGCATCCTGGAGGTCTCTGGAAGATAGGGGACCTCCCGAGATGCTCCTGGGATGCGCAGGAACCAGGGAAACCCGGCCTCGTTCGCCCTTGCTCCCTTCCTCTCTTCGGAGCGGAGACTCTCTTGCACTGAGTTGGGGGGCTCGACGGTCGGAACCGGCGACGCGGACCTGGGGGTGATCTGCCCCGCGGCTGAACCTGCCGTCGACGCGGCAGCAGCAGGAGGGGGCACGGGTGGCCCGACTCCCCTCGCCCCGTGACCCGGAGCCCACGCCTCTATCCATCTCTGTTCTGGCTGACTTGGGCTGCAGGGGCCCGTGCTACTGGGCAGCGCTGCTGCTGCTGCGGCGGCTGCTGCTACGACCTGGGGAGGCTCCTCCGTCGGCTCTGAACGGACGTCCTGAGGTGCCTGAACATCGGCACTGGGGCTGTCCTGGCGTCCTGGGGTCTGCTCCTCTGCTCTCTCCTCCCTCTCTGCCTCCGCCACCTCCGCCTGCGCTGTCCCTCGCAGCGGCCTCCGCCTGCTAAGGTGCTGGTATTATCTCTGCCTCGCCCTCCTGCTGGCCCCCTGCATCTGCGGTGGGCCCTGGAGGGAGATCCCAAGCGCCCGCTGGAGGAGGCCCCTCGCATGCTACGTCTAGTGCTGATCCCGAGGCGTCGTGCTCTCCGAATCGATCCCAAAGACTCTTTAACGCCTCGTGCTGCATCAGCTCAGCTCCTAGCGCCTCCTCCTGGGCGGCTGCCCGGAGCTGTTCTGTGGCGCGCTTCCAGGGCCAGGCCCGGGCGGCGACCCGGGTGGCGGCCCCGCGCTGGCACGACTGCGCCTGGGCCGACCCGCCGGTCGCGCTGGGGGGAGTAGGTCTTCCTGCTCCAGGTGGGGGCCCTCCTCCACGCGTGCGCCCGCTGGCCCGGACGAAATACAAGATCTCGGTGAACGGCTGAGCTCTGGGACGCGGTGATCTTTTCTCGTGCATCTCCTGCTACGGCGATCCTCTTGGCTGCTGATCTGGGCCCCTGCCTCCCCCTGAAGTCTGCTGCTGCTGCGTCGACCGCCAGGGCCCCACTCTGCATGTCCTCGAGACAGTTTCCGCCCAGGGGATCGTCGCTGAGGACTTCGCGGGGCGAACGTGGGCTCTGCCCAGACACGAGCTGCAGGGGGCCATGCCCGCCCCCGTGGATGGAACAAATGGTTCTTCCAGGCGACGTGCTCACGCGCTGCAGCCTCGAGCTCCTGGACAGAGGGCGGCGCGCATCCTTCGATGAGCTTGCCGAGGCGATGCTTCGCCCGCTGGCCGTGTCTCTCCGCGCGTTCGTTCCGCCATGGGGCCTCGGCGTCTGTGACCTTGTGGAAGACCCCGCTCTGCCCTAGATGGCGCGCGATGGCCTGGTCGAATTCTGGGCCCCCGTCTGTGATCAGGGCCTCGGGTGGCCCGCAGTGGCGTAGCTACCCTCTGGCATAGGCCAGCCACGCCTCGAAGGATTCTGTGCGCTGTCCTTCTCCTGCCGCCCCAACCAATTGGAGGTGCGCGTTGGCACCGTGACGGATGATGTTCAGAAGCGTGAATTCACCACAATAGGCGATGAAGAACAGGTCGGCTCCTACGACGCGGTTGAACACATATGCGCGAGGAATGGCAGCACGTCTTCTGGGCACCTGACGGGCGCTGGCGGCGCATGGGGGACATTGATACTGATATTTCGAAAAGTGAATCACCTCGGGCCTGGCACGGGCACTTCTTTCTCATGATTCTGATGAGCTGACCTGTCCGGGGATGGCCTAGGTTGACATGCGCTCGATCGACCATCCTCTCCTGCGCCTCTGACATCGCACCTACTTCCTTCATGGGCCCCGGCCCTCGTCGACTGCCCCCCCGCTGCGCTGCCGCTCTGGTGGCCTCTGCTGCGACTGCTTCTGCTGGGTCGAGTGCGGGGGAGCTGTATGAGGCCCTCGGTCTGCTGGACATGCGCGCACGGCCGACGCGCGAGACCGGCCCGCATGGTCTATTTTGGCACGGACCGCGCCCCCCCCCCCCCCCCCCCCCAGCGCGCGCGCAAGGGCGCGCGAATGATGTCGGCATGCGGCGCCACAGGCCCGCTAGGCAGAACTGCAAGAGCGCGCGCAAGTTTCTTGTTTCAAAACTGAGATTGTGTAACCTTGTGTTTTTGAATGTTTGGATGTGCGTTCGGCATTCGATCTTGAAAGTGCTACAAAACCGACGCGCGTTGAAAGATTTCGGCATGCGCGCGACGACGCGCGCGCGCACGTCGTCACATTTGTTTGCAAACGATTATCGCGACGGCGCGCGCGCAGAGGCGTTCAAACGATTTCAACATGCGCGCTCGAAGCCTGTTTGGTAGCATGTTCTGAACATGATGGGGGGGGGGGGGGGGGGGCGAACAAAAAGAAAGAAGGAACAACAAAAAACGCATGGTGCTTTAGAATACGCAAGAAAACGCGCACGTTTTGTTTGAAAGCCCGCGTTGCGAAACCGTGTTTTTTATATCCAAAACTTGTTCGACACTCGATGTTGAATCTTGTCCGAAGAGAACATGTTTGAAGGATTTCGGTGTACGCGCGCGACGACGCGCGCTTGCGCACTTCGCCCCTTTTTTTGCATGAGGTTCCTGAGAGCTAATGACTTTTAATCGACGGGTGCGCGCGCATAGTATTTTTCCAGGAGGATGGCGGGGGGGGCTCGATACCGGCTTGGCTGGGATGGTCCGATGTCATATCTCGGGTGGGCGGTGGGGCAGAATCGCGTGTAAATTGCGATACAAAAGCGTGGATCGATAAAGCCAGGGTGGTGGCGGTGGATCCTACCTCTGTTTGAGAAAGAAGAATTGACCACGCCGCACCGCGCGCGACCACCTCCCATGATCGTGCAAACACCCCACCTCATACCCGCATTTTTGTGAGCAAATATCAGAAAGTCGCGACTGCAGTTGCAGCGTGAAGGTCGTCCGCAAATTTCATCGAGCTCGCTGGCACGCGGACCGTCGTGGAGCGGGCAAAGTCCATTTTGCGGGAGACGGCGCGGATGACAGCGTCGACAAACGACGATGAGGTGGTTGGCACAACCCATAAGGTCGCGAGTACAATGACAGTGTGGAGCTCCTCCGGTAGTCCCATCGTGTTCACTGGCGCGCGGACGCTCGTCGCGCGGGCGGCGTCCATCTTGCGGTAGACAGCGCGAACGACGGCGTCAACAAACGACGATGATAATGATCACGACGCTTCCGGCGGGAATGACGACGATGACGGTGCCCCGCATGGTACTATTTGTGAAGGACCATGCCTCTGGCAAGCGCGTGATGGCATTATAATGAGTTCGACATGCGCGCGCGAA